CCTCCTCCCCTCCATCCCTCCTTACCGTAGTTCTCCGTCGATTGCTTGGCCTTGGTCTGGTTGAAGCCGTCCAGGGCCCGCCTGAAGGACGCCGACACCGCCATCGCCTCCTCCTCCCACTCCTGCACCGTGGAGCCCCACTCCGTCGCCTCCCCCCCTCCTTGCAAGCTGCGCCCAGAGGGAGGGATCGGCTCGGCGTGGAGGGATTCGTGTCGGGGACGCGCTTGGGCGTGGCTGGAAGGGACGGGGCGCTTGGGGCGGAGGGGGCGGTACGCGGGCTCTCGGGCGTGGAGGTAGGGGAGGAGGAGGAGGAGGAGGGAGGGAGCGAGGAGGCGAGCACGAGGATGAAGTAGCATGATCGGAAGCCTCAGGAGGGGGGGGGGGAGGAGGAGGGGAGGGCGGGTGAAGGGAAGGCGATGAAGGAAGCTGGGAGAGCGTGTGATAAATGAAAGACGTTGTCGATGACGGCGTCTCGCCGGATATACAGTCAAGTCGGACCGCTGAGAATGGGAGCAGGCCCGAGGGGGGAGGGATACAAAGTTTTGGGTCGCACGCACGAGGGAGATCCATCCCTGAAGGCATGTGTAAAAGAGGGGAAAATATGCAGTGGTGGCCTCGATGTATGCATATATGCAGGGATTTAGGGGGCCGGGCGAGTCTAGCCAGCGCCCAGCCCTTTGGTAGACTCGCCTTGCGTGCAAAGAGAGAGGCTTTTTCTCCTTCCTCCGCATCGTAGAGCTCACACCGCCATTGCCTGGCGTGTAAGGTCTCAAAATAGTTGCCTCTCATCAGTGACACATATCAAAATAGTCACATCCATGGACCAAAAGGTTTCAAATTGTCGGGTAAGGGGAGGGAGGGACGAGCATTATCTGGCGACAGAGGTCCGTGGCGAGGCTGCGACGACGGCTTCTCGGTTTAAACACTTTGTCTCCCGCAGCGCCTTTTTGTACACCGGTTTATTTTTCGTCAACATTTTTCCACGACCACCATAAGCAATGTGCATGTCCAACACGTGCGTGCGTCGGCCTTGTGTGCCGCTCGCGCGACAGTCTTGGGCGGGCCCGTCTCCGCTACCTCCGAACGCTAACGTTTGCTTGAAATTTTGAATATGGGCCACCAGGCGTCACGCGAACTCGGGCAGGAGGGGAGGCTGCCGCGACGTCTTGGCAACGAACCACACACGTGCCATGCCGCGCACTGCACTATGGAGTCGTACAGGCGTGTGTATTCCGCTGGCATTGCTGGTGATGGGTGTTCACTGTTTCGGCCCTTTGGACCTGCAGGGGCTCGAGAAGGAGGAGGCGGCGGCCACTCCGTCACGGCGAGGTAGGAAGGGGGGGGGAAAGAAACAGGGGCGATGGACAAGCATGGTTGTGGGAAGAGAGGTGAAGGGCCCATGAAGTCAGTCCGTGTGTGGCTCGCTGGAGGCGTCGATAAGATATGGGAAGGTCAAAAATTTGATGCGGGCTTTTCCGCGCACTGAACCTCCCTCGTCATTTGACCCGCATTCAATGAACCGCGACGCTTATGCGCACAAATATGGCATGTCTCTTCTTCTTTCTCGTCGCACAGCCCTTCGATTGGCCACTCCCCCGTCCCAAGCACCCCCGCCCGCCTCCATGGACCAAGGCCTAGAAGGAGGGAGGGCGGGAGGGCGGGAGGGAGAGCGGGAAGAAAGGCAAGAGGTGGACGGGTACGGGGCCCTCGAGACAGCAGCGGGGACGATCCAAGGAGGCTTTGGCAACCTGATACCCGGGCCGGAGGAGGAGTGGCTGGGGGATAAAGATGTGAGCGGCAAAAAT